AAAAAAAAAAATTTTTTTTCAGGGAAAGCTGTTTTTATGTGCCCAAAGGTAGTCCTTTTATCCTATTTGTCACGTGTTGTCGGACTGCTTTAAATGTGTCCAGAAAAGTATGTCCATTTCATCCTATTTGTTACGTGTTGTTGGACTGCTTTATATGTGTCCAGTGAGGTATAATCACTTTATCCTATTTGTCATGAGATGTAAGACTGTTTTATATGTGTCCAGGCAGGTATGTCCATTTCTTCCTATTTGTCATGAGATGTAAGACTGTTTTAAACGTGTCCATTGAGGAAAGTTCACTTCATCATATTCGTCACGAAATGATGGACTGTTTTATATGTGTCCAGGGAGGTATGTCCACTTTATCCTATTTGTCACAAGATGACGGACTGCTTTATCCTATTTGTCACGTGTTTGACTTCTTTAATTATCATATTTTCCATTTGATAATTGACTGCTTTGAGAGTTTTTATATGTGTCTTCTTTATCCAATTTGAATGTGACGTGTGGCAATGACTGTCTCGTCATGTTTGCTTTCAGAATATGGCTCTTTTTGTCACTTTTATAGGGATGTATGTCTACTTTAAAACAGAGGAAGATTTAAATGTCTGATCATATTGGGAAAAATAAAACAGATTATCGTAGTTTAATTGTCTATTGTTTTACTTCATTCAATTGGAAAGCGAGAAATGTAAAGGTAATATATTGTTTTATAAGACAACACATACGTTTTAATTGTTCACAAGTCCCTGGTTTTCTTACGACATACATTCGACCTGTACAATTAATTAAGGCCACAAATCTTGAAAACGAAGTTTCAGACATGGAACTTACAGAAATGTATTAATGTTCTTTATGTATTTATTGAGGTGGTTGTGCTGGCAGTTTTTAGTCGGGATCACGGTACATTGAAATTACCAGAGCACCATTCAGCCACCACATCGTAACTAGGCAGGCTGTGAAGCAGTATACCAGTACTAGTTGCTTTCAATTTCGCAAGGAACTGATTACTTTGTAGAACCACCGATGTTCCGTAAGCTAGGTTTATAGCTTCCACACGTGAAATAATTCAAAGTCTTAGTTGGGATTCGGACCAACAGCGGTAAAGGGCAAGTGTTAACTTCTAGTAGGTATTACACAAGTTTTTAAGTTAAATGATTTATAGCCAAGTTATGGCCATCATGAGGCAACACATGTGATCACTTGTTAATGATATAAATAGCCACAATTTAGTCGGGCATTGATTAATCTACAAATGCACCAAGCGTCGGAGTAGCATAAAAATCTAGAAAAAAACGAACATTTTCAAATATGTGTGTCTCATTGCACACATGCATATATAGTTGTTTGTTAACTAAAATATTATGGTTAATTATTTGAATGTATAAATGGTTATTTGTTTAATAAATCGGGAGTGGGATATTGTTTTGACGTTTCCGTCTGTCTGTCCTTCCGTACATCCGAATTTATGGAAATCATTAATATCAAGATGGAGATGTGCATCTCCTCGGCTTGTTCCAGACAGACCTTTTTACTCAGATTTTATTTCCTCGCTAGTTCTCTACAACTACTTGCTGGAATTCAACAAACTTTATGGGAATCATCAATATCAAGAGGAGATGTGCATATCGTTGCCTTGTTCCGGTCAGACACTTTAACTCAAAATTATGGCCCTTGATTTGTTATGCAGTATGCATATAGAACAATAATCGTTTCCATGCTATTTCTTTACAACTACTGGCTGGACTTTAACAAAACTTTTTGGGAACCTTCAATACCAGTAGGAGATGTGCATTCCGTCACCTTGTTCCGGTCAGACACTTTAACTCAGAGTTATGGTCCTTGGTTAGTTATGCAGTATGCATATAGATGCTACTACTGGCTAGAATTAAACAAAACGTTATTTGAATTATCAATTTCACAAGAAAATGCGCATATTGTCGGCTTATTCCGGTCATACCCTTTACTCGGAGTTATGGCCCTTAATTAGTTATGCAGTATGCATATAGAGCAATAATCGTTTCTGCGCTTCTTCTCTGCTTCTTCTCTGCTACGACCGGCTGGAATTCATTGGAACGTTATGGGAACTTTCAATACCAACAGGACATGGGCATAATTCGTCGCCTTGTTCCGGTCAGATACTTTAACTCAGAGTTAAGACCCTTGATTGGTTATGCAATATGCATATAAAGCAATAATCATTTCCCCGCTACTTCTCTGCAACTTCTGACTGGAATTCAACGAAACTTAATGGGAATCATCAATTGCAAGAGGAGATGCGCATATTGTCTGCTTGTTATGGTCATACCCTTTAACTCAGAGTTATGGCCCTTGATTAGTTATGCAGTATGCACATAGAGCAATAATTGTGTCCCCTCTTCTTGCCTGCAACTACTGGCTGAAATTCAAGTAAACTTTATAGGAACCATTAATATTAAGAGTAGATGTGCATATTGTTGCCATGTTCAGACAAGACCCTTCATCACAGAGTTCTGGCCCTTAATTAGTTATGCAGTATGCATATAGTATCAGAGCAATATTGCTATTTCTTTGCAACTGCTGTATTGATTTCAACAAAACATTATGGCCACCATCGATACTAAAAGGCAATTTACATCTCATTGGCATGCCCAGATATCACTATTCAAAACGTAGTTATGGCTCTGTAATTGCCCTGAATATTTATCATGTACAAAGAATATTACCGTTTATGTCATGATTAATGTATTTATAAAGCATTTTGTCTTCAGTTGTTGTGTTAGTAATAACCAGTACTTGGCGGGGGATATAAATTCAACGAAATTTTGCTTGTTTTATCAGTCTCCCAACGATAACAGACGTTTGGTTAATCAGAAGAAAATCATTGATGAAAATGTTAAATTTCAAGCAATTGCTGCTTACTTATTTTTAATTTGTGATTTGTAACCGTTGATTATCAGCATTAACTAATCAGAGCGTCCCTTTTGCATGAGGGAAAATTGACTGACCACACTATACTGGTAAATATTTTTGGTTTATGTCTTTATATAAACAAAATGTATCATATTTGTCACCGGCTTAAATGGTTGAGATTTGTTTTGTGAATGCTCTAACACAATATTTCTGTGTATTCTAAATTTATAAATCTTAACAGTAATGTTTAATGCCTTAAGAGGACATGGCAAATATATAAAAAATTCACCGTATTGTAAATGACGTAATCATTTTCAGCTGATAATTGCCAGCAGGTCTTTTGATGAGCAGGTCTTTTGAATTTTGTCAAAAGAAATTGATTAAAATGTAAATAAATGTCGAGTCTGCATTTCTCTTGTAATTTTGTTGTGCTCAATGCTTCCAAGGGATCACTTTGTTTTCAGATGTTTATACTTCACAACAGCAGGTGTCATAACTTTTGGCAGAAATTTAGCTCATTGTATAAAAGTTACTTGCATTCTAAAGTTCCAATTCGGCATTTGGGAACAGTTCGACCAAATTATAAAGAAAACAACTTGTTGACATTTAAGCAGCATGATAGTTTTCATGAAAATTTTGAAAATATACTTTAAATGAAGATAGTTTAACGTAAACACAGAAATTAATCTATACTTTGCAAACAACACTTGCGCTCCACATACATTACCCAAAAAGGTAATAAATTGCTAAAATAGCCCGTCTTGCGTTAGTCACGCAGTATAAATACTGCAAACTCAGTCATTAATCACACAAATAGAATCCTTTATATTTTTTATATACTTTTATACTTTTCTTAAAATCAGATACGTTTAGCCATAAGTTTGAGTTAAACAAATAATTTGGCTGATCTGGAGGCTTGCGGCTTTAAAATTTTCACCATTTTAGATGCAGATATGAACGTAGTGAGATCATTTTAAGAAGTATATCTTATTTATTTGGTATTTTGGACTTGAAATAATTTTAATCCAAGACCGTACGTATTTATTAAATTTACATAAAATTTTAACATACATTATTTTTTGTTTTTATTTTGTTTTGTTTAGATATTGATAGAGTATCAGGATGGCACATCAACTTCAGTTAGAGAAGGAAAAATACAGACAGTGGGTAAAAGCTGGTTTAGGACTTGGATATTTAAAGGAGGGACTGGCACCATTCTGTAATAACATAGCTGACCAACAACATAAGGATATCTTACAAAACATTCGGTCTACAAAATCACTACCATCAACTGTGACGTGTGGAAGCTGTCGAGTTGAAAACCTCAAGCCAGACCATAAGCCAGTTCCTGGGAATGCTGGAAACAAAGTTTGTCCTTTTGGGCAAGTAAAATGCAGCTGTTGCTGTAAGGGCAAAAGTGCTTGTCCGAACAACATATGTGGCGCCATCTATGACTTTATTGTGCAGCATCATGCCTCCACGCCACCTGCACCTAACTGGAAAAACAGCGATGCTCTACAGTGGGTGACAGATCCTTGGAGCATTTGTAAGTGTTTTATAAATGCTCCAGGGTACGAGCAGAAACAATCTGCTTGTGAAACTGATTGCACTGGGCTATTACATCTAATGATAAATAATCAGTATTTTCATAGCCACATTGGATGCAATGTCACAGGAACAAACAACCTTTTTTCAAAGGTAAATCATTTATAAAATATGTTTTACTTATCTTTATCAGCTCTATTGTAATGTTATAATAATTGTATAATTTAGTAAGTAAAGGAAAAAATGTAAATTTTACTATGAAGGTAAGGAAGTAATTCACCACTTTAAAGATTCACAACAAATGTATAAAAATCCACCAATCGTTTTTATTTCAAAATTTGTTGTAACAATTCACAAGGCTTGTGGTTAATATTTACTGTAAACATGTACAATTGTAGATTTGTATATAGAATTATTTGTATACAGGCCTATTTTCCCCTATCCCATGGGTCCTTTCCCAATGCAAACTTTGTCTTCTTTTTCCCCAATTCCAAAAAATCCATATCCCAAAGTCGGTGATTTGAAAAGAGGTACACATTTTTAGCTCACCTGACCACGAAGTGGTCAAGGTGAGGTATAGTGATGGGGCTATGTCTGGCGTCCGTCGTCGTGCGTCGTCAACAATTGGGTTTTTAACAGTCTAGCAGTCACAGTTTTGATTGGATCATCATCAAACTTTGTCAGAATGTTTGTCTCAATATAATATAGATCGAGTTCGAAGATGGGTTATCTCGCGTCAAAAACTAGGTCACGGGAGCTAAAAATAGAAAAAGCTTGTTAACACTCTAGAGGTTGCAGTTTTGATCCAAATATTCTGGTAATTTGTCAGGAAGGTTGTTTTAATGATATCTAGGTCAAGTTTGAAGATGGGTCATCTCCGGTCAAAAACTAGGTCACAGGAGCTAAAAATAGAAAACGCTTGTTAACACTCTAACAAATGGGTTTTTAACAGTCTAGCAGTCACAGTTTTGATTGGATCATCATCAAACTTTGTCAGAATGTTTGTCTCAATGAAATATAGATCGAGTTCGAAGATGGGTTATCTCGTGTCAAAAACTAGGTCACGGGAGCTAAAAATAGAAAAAGCTTGTTAACACTCTAGAGGCTGCAGTTTTCATCCAAATATTCTGGAAATTTGTCAGGAAGGTTGTTTTGATGATATCTAAATCAAGTTCGAGGATGGGTCATGTCTGGTCAAAAACTAGGTCACAGGAGCTAAAAATAGAAAAAGCTTGTTAACACTCTAGGGGCTGCAGTTTTCATTAAAATATTCTGGAAATTTGTCAGGAAGGTTGTTTTAATGATTTCTAGGTCAAGTTCGAAGATGGGTAATGTCTGGTCAAAAACTAGGTCACAGGAGCTAAAAATAGAAAAAGCTTGTTAACACTCTAATTGTTGCAGTTTTCATCCAAACATTCTTGAAATTTGTCAGAAAGGTTGTTTTGATGATTTCTAGGTCTATTTCGAAGATGGGTCATCTCAGGTCAAAAACTAGGTCACAGGAGCTAAAAATAGAAAAAGCTAGTTAACACTCTAATGGCTGCAGTTTTCATCTTAATATTCTGGAAATTTGTCAAGAAGGTTGTTTTGATGATATCTAAGTCAAGTTGGAAGATGGGTCATCTCCGGTCAAAAACTAGGTCACAGGAGCTAAAAATAGAAAAGCTTGTTATCACATTAGGGGCTGCAGTTTTCATCCAAATATTCTAGAAATTTGTCAGGAAGGTTGTTTTGATGATTTCTAGGTCAATTTCGAAGATGGGTCATCTCAGGTCAAAAACTAGGTCACAGGAGCTAAAAATAGAAAAAGCTTGTTAACACTCTATAGGCTGCAGTTTTGATTAAAATATTCTGGAAATTTGTAAGGAAGGTTGTTTTAATGATTTCTAGGTCAAGTTCGAAGATGGGTTATCTCAGGTAAAAAACTAGGTCACAGGAGCTAAAAATAGAAAAAACTTGTTTACACTCTAGTGGCTGAAGTTTTGATTCAAATATTCTGGAAATTTGTCAAGAATGCTGTTTTGATGTTTTCTGGGTCAATTGCTAAGATTGGTCATGTCCGGTCAAAAACTAGGTCACAGGAGCTAAAAATAGAAAAATCTTTTTAACACTCTAGTGCCAAATTTCCTGGAAATTGGTCAGGAAGGTTGTTTTGATGATTTCTATGTCAAGTTTGAATATGGGTCGTGTCAGTCAAAAATTAGGTCACATTGCCCAAATATGGAAAAATCTTTATAACACACTAGAGGTCACATGTTTGACTCAGTTGTCATCAAACTTGGTTATGATGCTTGTTTAAGACATTGCTTGGATGCGATTGTGTCAGCTGAGCGATCCAGGGCCATCATGGCCCTCTTGTTTGTATTTGGTGTGGACGTTCTTGATCATTTTTCGGATATCTTTTAAATCCCTATCAGTTTCAGTAATAATATTTTATTTAGCTTTGTTTGAAGAGTTTGCACATCTTATATGCTGGCATATTTTTTCCCAAATAATAAATTTCACAACTAAGTCTTAGATACAATTTCCCCAAATTTGCAATGAATATTATACATGTAAGAAAAAGGCCTGGTATAATTTATGATTGCATCTTTTATGAAGGTAAGTACCTAAACAAGTGTCAACAAAACAATTTTGATTGCTTAACAGTATACGCATGTATATGCATAGAACAATATTAAAACCTGTGTTTTCTATTCAATAGGTACGTCAGTATAGAAATAATATTTTCCACTCAAGCAGCATGGAATTAGAAGAAAGTGAGGCCAATTCATATATTGACGATATGATAGCAGTTTTACAAGATGGTAAAGAGCTATTACAACAACCAGATGCCCAGATAGCGGTGAAGAAACTTCAAGATGTAAGTGTAAATAATGAATTATGTCAGTTTCAAATCTTTATTGAGTAAACTTATTATGATTTAAGATAACATGCCACTTAATTCAGGGCAAAGTTAATGTAACAGAGTTTGAAGTGGTAAAATAAAGTCAAATTAAAAAAAAAATAAACCCCTTAAGTTAATTGATAAAGTCACATAAAAATATATATGTACCTATAAAATGTTAAATTATAAGCAAAAGAGATCTTAGTTTGTAAAGAACTTCTAAATTCCAAAAACTTTGAAATCTGAACAATTTTAAGGGTCCTGATATTCTATATAATTCATACATCTGAAATTGAGGAATTCTAAATTCTGATATTGTGGTAAGGTTTGGATTATATCAATAAAAAATTACTTTAAATATTCGAAAGTTGAAAAAGCGTCTGAAGGATATTTTACTTGAGATAATAAAACCAGCAATATGTTTGTATGATAGTATCTCTAATTATCTGTGACCCGCATATATCTTGACCCCTATTAGAACCTCAACATGTCATGCATGTCCAACCCTTAAGTGTGAAATAAAGAAAGTGAGAAGTATAAGAATTCTGAAATTTTCTAAAACCCTTCATTTGTGGCCAATCTCATAGGCAACACTGAAATAGATAAGAAAACAGTGAGGAAGTACTAATGTCTGAGAATCAGATACATGTAAGTACATAGGTAAGTGTATACAGCCTTAAAAGGGGATTTAAGAACAAAGTATGAGAGTTAAAATAAGAGAGCAATTGGGATAATTTGAAATAAAGTTTGACCTTATATATAATATGTTGTATAGAAGAGTGATTATTATAAATTACAAAGTTACATTTTTTATGATAGAAAATATAACAAAACTGATTTCTTTTAATCAGCTGAAGAAGAAAGATTTCATTATTTCTACTGAAAGCTTTGAAGAAATTCTGAGAGAAATCAAGGAAGAAATGGCAAAAGTTCTGAAATCGACAGAAAATGCTGCAACTAAAGACGAATATGATGATCTGAAGAAGAAGCTAATAGACCTTGAAGCCAAGATGTCTGGTGAAAAGAAGGGAAAGCTGGAAATTGAAAAAAAACTTGAAGGACTAAAGAACACAATAAAAGAACTTGAAACCAAAATGTCTAAAGTAAACGACGAAAATCTTGAGAATGCAGAATTGAACAAGAAACTTGGAGTCTTAGAAACTCTTGTTTCAGAACAGAAAAAGGTAAAACAAATTTCCTTCTGTTTGTTAACTAAATGTTACAACTGTATGTAACATCTTTACAGAGATCTGCCGAGGACGCGATTTTGCGCCATTGGTGCTAAAAAAATGAGAATGGCGCAGGAAAATCAGCAGTAAAGGGCCATGGGCGCATCTAAAATCTGTGCCAGACTTATAAGAAAACAAAACTGTCTGCTGGGTTATTTAGTCATCCAGTCAAAACTGGTCCCAACAGCAACATGTTACCCATGCTCCTGTAATTACGCATATTCTTGAGTTTATCCATTCCCCTATAGCTTTTGTCCATGTTATCATCTTACCGCATTTCTTCTCATAATCCCTTTCCCACACAGATACTCATTTCTACTACCGTAAATTTAATCCAATAAAACAAACAAACAAACTATACAACTACTTAATATTTAAAATGATTATCGGTAACTGAAAAAAAAAGTGTTGCTATTTTAAGAAATGCTGTAAGTTACAGTATAATCTGACAGGTGTTCAACTTGATCAACCCTAAGGTCACGCAAGTTTTGGCTGATGATGTGTAAAAAAAAGATGTATATTTCGTCATCAGAATGTTTGACAGGGTGATTAACCAATCAGAGAAACATTGTGCATGACTTTTTTCATGATCAAAAGGTCTGTCCGCAAATGTCTTTGATGTATGCTGTCTACACAGAGGCATACAAGGGGCAATAAAATTCGTCAATATACAGTGGTAAGGGACATTTGGTGCAAAGTAGGAACAATTAAATGGATAATGCACAATATAAGACATTACAAGTAAGAACCAGCAATTATGTGAATAAATTTGCATATCAAATTTTTGAGCAGCCATTTAAAAAATATTTTCATTTTTGCCTGCAATTAATATTAGTTAGAAAGTTACCATGTAGGCATAATTTTTAATTATTGGTAACGTACTGAATTATAAGTGAACCACTTGTCATAAAATATAATTTATTACCGGGGCAATTCAATTATCAACAAACTTTTTAACAGTTATTTTGGTCAATGTTTACTTATTTTCCCAAGGCCCATACTTTGGTAAAAATGGCCCATCATTTTCAGACCAAGTGGGCCCAGGGCCCAGTACTTTCAAATGCTTGGCAGATCTCTGTCTTTACATTTAAGAAGAAAAAGATAGTATGTTAATTGTAAAGAATTTTTTTGTATAATTTAAGAACATCATTCTTAAAGGTTAAATGTAAGCTGTGCAGGCTTTTTGTAAAGGTCACAATTAAAGGATCAATGTTAGCTGTGTTTCCTTATGGTGTAGGTCACAATTATTGATTAAATGTAAGCTGTGTTTCCTTATGGTGAAGGTCAAACTTTAAGGTTAAATGTTAGATATGCTTACTTATGGCAAAGGTCACAAAAAGATTAAATGTAAATAAGGTTTACTTATAGTGAAGGTCACACTTAAAGATTAAATGTTAGCTGTGTTTCCTTAAAGATTACATGTTAGATATGCTTGCTCATGGTGAAGGTAACACTTAAATATTAAATGTAAGCTAAGCTTGCTCATGGCCAAGGTCACACTTAAAGGTTAAATGTTAGCTGTGTTTCCTTATGGTGAAGGTCACACTTAAAGGTAAGTAAGCTATGCTTGCTCATGGTGAAGGTCACAAAGGTTAAATGTTAGCTATGCTTGCTCATGGTGAAGGTCACACTTAAAGGTTAAATTGCACGGCCGTGCATATATTTTGACGTGATGTCATTAGCGTTATACAAACATAGTGTAAAGACGCGCGAAATGTTAGCGTTATACTATGGGCGCATCAATGAAAAATGACTCTTATTTCACTTTAAACGGTCTTTATTTTTGGTATGTGATAGATAGAATATTGAATTTGTGTAGGTTCATTACTGAATTTATTGCACTTGTTGAATAAAATAATATTATGCTCGCCAGAGGCTCGCATAATATAATTTTATTCAACTTGTGCAGTAAATTTATTATTGAACTTGCACTCATTCAATATCCTCTATTTATGGTGAAGGTCACACTTAAAGATTACAATCATGTAAGAAGTTCTTGCTCATAGTGAAGATCACATTTAAAGGTTGGTTAAATGTTAGTTATGCTTGATCATGATGAAGATCACACTTTCAGGTTAAGGTAATGGGCACTATAAGTAACTGTAAAATTGATAACAAAGCACAGTTAAATGTCTTAAAGGTCACTTGTATTAAAGAAAATTTACCGTGTGTTTTATGAGTTTTGGATATATTTCTGTACTAAAACTTTGTTATTAGAACGGCTTTTTCAGAAATGAGGAAACTCTAAATAATCTATTATATCACCATTATGAAAATGTTTTCCTATTGCTCATTGTTAAGAAACAAATAATAACATTCACGTAACAAATTACACGAGCAAAAATATTGATTCTAAACAAAATGTTTTTCATATGTATAAAAATGTTACCCTACTCTACCCACTTTAAAAACTAATTTGACAAATTCCCTATTTAAAAGTTTTATTCAAAATAGCCCTAAAATTTACCACAATGAAGGGCTGCTTTCAAAGTTTTGCCTAAATTTTCATTAAGTTAACTATATTACTTGATCATGCTAAATATAAAATACTTTTACCTTGTAGTTTCTATTTTATTAATTTTTGAAAATATCTGGTATGATATTTGCTATTAAATTTGGCATTATTTAGCAAATAAATACCAACAATAATTATATAATCAAAATTGAAGACTTTTTTTCAACCAAAAGGGATTCAAGAGATACATGAATAATGTTAAAAAAGAAAAAGGAAAAGAAAAATAAGTTGCCCCTTCTGGGGTTTGAACCCACGACCCTCAATTTCATTGTAGTTGACGAGTGAATCTAGCCTATTTGTATACTCTTCAAAGCGGAGGTAATGCATTACCCATGGTCTACCTGAAATGTCAGCTAAACTTGCTCATGGTGAAGGTCACACTTAAAGGTTAAATGAAAAATTTGCTTGCCAATGGTGAAGGTCATACTTAAATGTTAGCAATATACTTGCCCATGATGAAGATCAAATTTATTGGTTAAATGTTAGCTATATACTTGCTCATGGTGAAGGTCATACTTACAGGTTAAATGTAAGCTATGCTTGCTTATGGTGATGATTAGACTTAAAGGTTAAATGATAGCTGTGCTTGCTCATGGTGAAGGTCACACTTAAAGGTTAAATATTAGCTATCCTTGTTCATAATGAAGATCACGCTTAAAAGTGAAATGTTAGCTAAGCTGGTTCATGGTGATGGTCACACTTAAAAGTTCAATGTTAGCTATACTGGCTCATTGTTAAGGTTACACGTAAAGGCTAAATATTATAATATATCTTGTTTGTTATGTTAGGGTTTTGCCTAACCCAATGAAGCAATTTCTTCAATCATTGCTCAGTTTACACAATTCAGCACTGATAAATCGTGAGTTTGTTGTCCAGGGACATATTTTGTTATAAAATAAGGTATAGAACTATGAACTTTGATAATCATGTTGATAATTTTATATTCGAATTTGTCCCACCTAGAAACATTTTTTTCTTTGAGAATATAAAATGTGACCCGTTGACCTACTCCTAAATTGCAGAGCATTTTCTTACAAAGAATGGCGAGTGATTAAATATGGCGATCATGATGGTTATTGTGCTAAAATATAAAAATGAAATAAAAATAATGTAATGCTTGGGTTAGCATTACCATGTTTGTTTTATTTATTTATTTATTGTTAATAATTACAGCGCTGATTCATAATGCTGTAAAGTCATGTTTACATAACTTTATATAGAAATATTACCGGGAAAATACTGTTTACACCTGCAATTTTATGTGTGTCTAAATCATAATTGTCCGACTTAATTAAATTGTAATTGTTTGTATCGAGAATATCTCGGTACGATTTTTGATGTCACCAGAGTTTGCACCTTTGAACAGTAAAAAATACGAAATGTCATTATTATCTATCGGTGTAAATTGTAAGTGAATTACCTTTATCACTTGATTGCTTAAATGATTTATTTATATTCTGTGTAATTAACATGTAAAATCTATAAAGTTGCTGTTTGTTGTCCTGCATCGCACATTGCATGTTTTAGCGGAATCTATTAAAGCATGCGTTATAAAACTCCTCCACTTGACCTTATTTGACATGTAAACAAATAGTTTATTTTTACAATGACATTATTATTTGTTTTACGTCCTGTTATCTGGCAAGATTTTTGGGTATAATTGTTCCCAATGGTTGTAAATGAAATAATTATGCATAGTTTTTATTCGGTAAAATCCGTGAGTAAATTTTCCTGGCGTCTCCTACTGAATTCCTCACGGAACTGAGGATTCGTGAGTTTTCGTGAGGAAACGCCCCTATAAATACGGAGGTTTCAGCGTTTCCTCACTCCACTCCGTGACCAGTAGTCAGTTGGTGTAGATCAATTCCTTGCTGAAACCAGACTTTGATATATTGGTAAATTATTCTATTTACCTATACATTGTGAAAATTTTGTAGATTAATAGCTTATTTAGAGCAGTTTTGTCAAATCTAGTCCTTATTATCGGGGGACGGCCTCATCGATCACCCTCCAGGCTTGCCAGAATTCGTTATCATTTTGCTAATATATACGAGGGCTGTTCAATAAATACGCGGAAAAGTGCTGCCATATTTTTAATATTCATGGGAAATTGACGTTCTCTTCGCATTTTGTAAATAAACATATAATAAACAGGTACACAAAATTTTAATAAAATCGGATAAAAATTGATAGTACAATTTCAAGTATTTCTAAGGTAATCGCCGTGAAACCGGTCCAACGTCGTAACGACGTCACGCTCAACGCATGTATGAGAGTCACCCAAAACACGCACCTAGTCCTTCTCGAAATACTCTCCGTGAAAGGAAACACACTTTTTACAAACGGTTGATCCATATCATGAAACTATTTAAGTAGGAGTCATTATTAATCTCTTAAATTGCACCTTGCACCGCGTAGGACAACTCGTCCACATCATCAAAGTGCTCTCCCCGCAGGACGTTCTTCAGTGTGGGGAACAGAAAGAAAACGCATGGTGCGAGGTCAGGTCTGTAGGTCGAGGACTTCGAAGCCGAGTTTCCTGATTGTGTACTGTGTTTCGGCCGCACGATGAGACGGTGCGTTGTCGTGATGAAATATTGTGTCGGCGATTTTCGTGGCCCGCTTCTTTCTCATCGCCCTCATAAAATCGCGTCTCAGAATCTGAAAGCATAAAGAAATACAATCATAAGTAAATTGTCGTTATTATTTATTTTCATAATTACTTACACAAATATAAATAATTATTAGGTAATGTATTGACATAATAATGAATATCTTATTATAGATTAAATACATTTATTCACCTAAGAATAATACTTCGCCGTCACAGTCTGACCCAAGGGTACTACGTGGCTCAGTATCACACCGTCGACGTAAAAGAAGACGATGAACATCTGTTTCATTGCAAATGGGCGGACTTTAAACTTCTTAGGTGAAGGCGATCCTGGAGTTTTCAACATAGAAGACTGTGATTTTGTTTCAGGTTCGTATAGGCTGATGCATGTCTCATCAACAGTCACTATCCGTCGCAAGAAACGTTCACCTTCCCTATGAAGGCGTCTGAGAAATTGATTGCAACACCGCACCCTTTCCACTTTTTGTTCGTCCGTCAACATTTTAGGAATCCACCTGGCACACAGGCGTCTCATATTGAGTTCATCGTGAATAATGCGATGCACTGTGCCAATGCTACAATCCGATCTTTCGTGTTTTTCGCGAATTGTTATACGACGATCATTGCAAAGCAGCTCCTTTATCACAGCGACGTGATTTGACGTTACGTTGGGACGTCCACTGCGATTATCGTCATGGATGCTTTGTTGTCCGTCTAGAAATCGGGCATACCACTTGTACATTGCTGTTTTCTTCATCGCCTGATCACCATATGCTTTTTGTAATCTTAACATTGTTATTTTCTTTGAAAACCCGTTCAAAACACAATATTTTATTGAAGATCGTTGTTACGATGCCATTTTAACGCATACGCACTAAACAAGAGAAGTGTTAGAATATGTACACAATCCTGTATATACCTTGGCATATTAATACTTACATCTTAATAACATCTTGTTGATTAAAGTTTTGAACTAAAAAGTATTTTTTGGATTAAAGAAGATAATTTGTTTTTGCAGGAGATGGCAAAAATTAAGAAAGAAACCTCATCAGGTCAAAGTCAGGCAGAGTATGAGCAAACCAAGTTAGGTGAGTGAATATTTGTTTTGATGGTGTACATACAAGTGTATGATATTGCCATTAATATAAAAAAAACAGCTGAAGATCATCGTTACTTTATTACTTTAGAAATATATGTAATGATTTGGTACTCCGGATCATATACATTGAATTAATAATATAATTAAATTTTTGCATTATACCCTACCACATAATGTGGTTGGTGCTATAGACCCTCTCATTTATGACCGGATTCAAGTTGTAGCCATAAGGGGATACGTTCGACATTGTGGATACGATTAAGTACAATGATAGATGGATATAAAGATCTTAAACCTTTCTTGTAAGATTGGCAGATTGAAATTGCCAAAAGTTTGTGTAATTGAATAGGATATTACAAAAAAGGATGGTTAAATGAATGCAAATGTTTACTATAAAAAGAATAACGATTTGTTGTAATGCTAGACCATACGGCTGGATAACTGATCATGATTACCATTTTCGTTAGATTCTTAATAATGAAAATTGTCGCACCGTGTTTTACCAGGCAGTTAAATCTTACTAACTTGCTTATACCAGAGATGTAGATAATATAACTATGTCTCTGCTAATATACAATATGCCAAGAGATATTTTTATATTCAAAAATTTATAGTTCTGTAGTTTCGAAAAACGGCTGCGCTTTTAATTAATTGCAAGATACTGGCTGATTAAAAATTATTTTGATTAAAGCATTACTTAGACAAAGAAAAACAAAAATGTAAATTTACATGATCTATGTAATTTCAAAAAATATGTTCTGGCATAAAAAGTAAAAATTCTTTAGAATGTACATGACTGTATACTATTTGCATCGGGTTAAAATTCAATCTCAAAGAATTTGTACATCGCGCCAATATATTAAAGCTGCTAAAGTGATATTTTCCACTTGATACTTTAATTATTTAATTCATACCCTGCTTATCAAATATTTGTTTAAAAATCACTAAAAAACACGTACACAGAAATTCGCTATTAACTGAATTACAATTTTTACGTATTTTTGACTGTGCAAGTTGGTAGTCATTCTGGAGTATCAAATGATTAAGGCATGACCAATAAAGTCCCAAAGATGATCCATAACCAAATTCAGACCATAAATATTTTGACAACTAACAAAAGTGATGTAATCTGATGTAATGCTATAACTCTAAAATATGCACCCTGGTGATTTTTGATATCACAGCCAAATGCCGCTTGTATATAAAACATATGCACCCTGTTAATTAATATGTTACGACCCAGTGGCGCTAATATATACATTAAATAAGTTACTGGGAAAAGCTCTTTTTAGCTCGACTTTTTTTTTTGAAAAAAAAAAAAATGTATTGCTATAGTCGCGGCGGCGTTGCCGTTGCCTTCTGCAAACTAGTACCTGGATAATAACTTTTTCTTTTCTTGGTGTATTGTCTTCATACTTGGCCACAACAATCCTTGGGACAAGACCTTTCAGTAAACCACACTAACCCTGACCTTCATCCAAAAATTGCATAGACCTTCAAGGTTAAAAGTCCAAATTTTGCTTGTTCTTGCTGTTATTGGCTGTAATTTTGTTATTTTTGAATGGATTGTCTTCAAACTTGAACATAATAATTTTGAAGGATATCCCTTAAAAATAACCAGACAGAGATTGACCTTCACTCAAAAATGACTTTGAAGGTCAAATTATTGAAATTTTCATTTGTTTGGCTATTATTGGCTGTAACTTTGTTATTTTTGATTGGATTGTCTTCAAACTTGAACATAAAAATCTTCAAGGGTAACCTTTAAAAATTACTAGACAGACCTTGACCTTCGTACATTAATGACCTTGACTTTGAAGCTCAAATTATTGAAATTTTCATTGTTTTGGCTGTAACTGGCGGTAACTTTGCTATTATTGAAGGGATCAACTTCATATTACAGAACATACTTAAGGACAAGACCTTGTTGTTTATCAAACACCTGGGCTCTTTAATGACCTTGACCTTGAAGGTTAAATTTCTGAATTTTCTCAGATTTGTGCATTAAATGACCATATATATTTATTGGTGTGTGTGTATGTGTGCGTGTGTGCGTGTGTGTGTGTGTATATATATCATCAACATCATCATCAACAACAACAACACCACCACAACGTGTCACCACCACCACAACGTGTCACCATGTGTCACCACCATGTGTCAACACCACGTGTCATTACCACGTGCCACCACATATCACCAACATTTGTCACCACCACCACCACGTGTCACCACTACATGTCAACAACACAACCACAACGTGTCAACACCACGTGTCACCACCACGTGTCACCACATATCACCACCACATGCCACTACCACCACGTGTCACCATCAACACATGCCACAAACACATGTCACCTACACATGTCACCACCACGAGTCACCACCACCACGTGTCACCACAATCACCACGTGTCACCACCACATGCCACAACCACCACGTGTCATCACCACTTGTCACCACCACAACGTGTTACCACCAGCACCACCACCCGTGTCAACACCACCGCGTGTCACCACCACCACATGTCACCATCACCACCACCAAGTGTATCTATTTATAGAATTTTCTATTTATAGAATTCGTGTTTCTATCTATCTATCTATATATATACACATTAAATATAAACCCCACAAGTATGGTCTCAAATAGACCGATGCCCCGTAAATGGAGGAATTTGACTGTATATATATATATATATATATATATATACATATATATATATATATATATATATATATATATATATATATATATATATATATATATATATATATATATATATATATATATATATATATATATATATATATATATATATTTAAGTATATTTATATACAAAATATATTTACAAAAACTAATGTGACAAGACAGACCGATTAAACTTATAAAAAGGAGACGTTAAGATTTTGTCCAAACATTTATTTGTTTGCTTTTAGAGAAGGTAAAATGTCGAGCCTTGCTTCCCGCCCGGCGGTGGCTCTTGTTTATACTAGTAATTATTAGAATAGATTTGTAATGTTTAAATTATCTTATTATCGTCTGTTGCGAATCAGAAGCTATAAAAGTCATTGCCATATGGTTTTCGTTTCTCAGGAATATCTTTAAAATTATATCCCCCAATTAGTAAGTGTTAACAGAAAGCTTGAAAAACAATCATTAAAAAAACATTGGTAATCTTTTTTTCATGTTTGTCACAAATTTATGCACCGGAATAAAAGAAAATCACACAGAAAACTAGAAAATGACCATTTAAAATTATTTAAGTTAATTTCAGTGTGGGGGCATCCGTGGCCGAGTGGTTAAGGTCGTTGACTTCAAACCACTTGCCCCTCACCGCCTATCCAGCTAGCTTACGGAACGTCGGTGGTTTTACTCAGGTGCCCGTTCGTGCCTGAAATATTGCACGGAAGGGCACCTGAGGTCTTCCTCCACCAGTAAAGCTGGAACGTCGCGATATGACATATACTGTGTCGATGTGACGTTAAACCCAAAACAAAAAACAAAAAAAAATTCAGTGGTATATAGCGATTCACCTGTGTGTGTGTGTGTGTGTGTGTGTGTGTGTGTGTGTGTGTGTGTGTTTGTGTGTGTTTGTGTGTGTTCTATAGATTATATAGTGAAATTAAAAAATCATCTTGTGAAAAGCCACTATTTCAATTTCAAACTAACTTGGCAGGATTGATCCTTGCGTGAAGGGCTTCCAAAGTTGTTCAAAGGATTTATAAGAATGAATTAAAAAAAATCTTGTAAAGACCCAAAAGGCCTAGAGCTAAGATATTTTGCATAAGACATTTTCTGCTAGACATTTACCAAGATTGTTCAAATTATAGCCCTGGGGTCAAAATCGGCCCCAGCCCCGGGGGTCATTGATTTTCACTATATGTACGTAAAGTAAAAACTTAAAATACCTTCTTGTCTGAAGGTACAAGGCTTAGAGGTTTGATATTTGGTATGTGTTATTATCTGTAGGTACTCTACCAAAGGTGTTCAAATTTTGCCTCTAGTGACAAAATTAGCCTCCGCCCCGGGAGTCATAGGTTTTCTTTATATGTATATAGTAAAATCTTTAACAAAACTCTTCTAACAATTGACAAATGCTAGAGGTTAGATATTTTGTATAAAACATTGTGTAGTGAACCTCTACCAAGATTTTTCAAATTATAGCCTTTGGGTCAAAATTGGCCCCGGGGATCATTTATTTTCAATATGTACATATAGTAAAAAATCAAAACATCTTATTGTCTGAAAGCACACGGCTTAGAGCTTTAATATTTGTTATATGATATAATCTATAGGTACTCTACCAAAGTTGTTCAAATTTTGCCTATAGTGTGACGGTCAAAATTAGCCCCGCCCCGGGAGTCATTGATTTTCACTATGTACATTTAGTAAAAAAATCTTCTTGTCTGAAGGTACAAGGCTTAGAGCTTTGATATTTGTTATATAATATCATCTATGGGTCCTCTAATAGAGTTGTTTTAATTATGTCCCTAGTGTCAAAATTGCCCTGCCCCAGAGGCGATAGTTTTCCTTTTCCTAGAGGTTATATATTTGGCATGAGATTTTGCGAAGTGAACCTCTAGGAAGATTGTTCAAATTATAGTCCTGGCGTCAAAATTGGCCCCACTCCCGGGGGTTATTGATTTTCACTATGTACAAAAAATATTTTTGTCTAAAGGTACAAGAGATAGAGCTTTGATGTTTGCTTTATAATATCATCTATAGGTCCTCTACCAAAGTTGTTCAAATTTTTCCCCTTTTTGTCAAATTTGGCCCTACCCGGGGGCATTGATTCTCATTATGTACACATAATAAAAACAGAAACTAAAACAAATGTTTGACATGAAATGTTGTTTGGTGGACCTGTATCAAGATTGCTTTGAATTAAACCCTTTTTGAATTAAACCCTTGGGTCAAAATTTTGTCTTGCCCAAGGGGACAGTGACCTACTTTCTTGTCCTTTGATGTACAGTAATGAAATGTTGACCATATGCACAGATTTAGTCGTAAAATTGAACTTCATATCAGGTGACCTAGATTTTGATGATGTGACCTACTTTCTTGTCCTTTGATGTACAGCTATGAAATTTGAACCATGTGCACAAGTCAGATGTAAAGTGAACTTTAATATCAGCTGATCTAGATTTTGACAATGTGTCTTACTGTGTTGTCCTTTGATGTAGTCTGTGTGAAAATAAGGCTATGTGATATATGACCCTCGCCACCAAATTCACTAGACTCAACTGCATTGACATATTCCTACTCTGATAAGACGGCAGCGTCTAGTAGATATGCATTTGTCCGTATAACAAAGGGGAAAATATAAGACTTGATTTTGTGCATCTTTCAAGCTCACCAGAGCCGAAGGCTCAGGGTGAGCTATTAGTATCAAAGGGGGATACTCCGGCGTCCGTCGTTATGCGTCAACAATCGTCTTCTTCTCTGAAACTACTAAGCAGATTTCTTTCAAATTTGGTCTGTAGCATCCTTGTGACAGTCACACTTGAATTTGCTCATGTCATTCCAATTGGCCCCTTTTAGGGGTCAGCAGAGCTAAAAAAAGAAAAACCTTTAAACATATTATTCTACAGAACTAATGGATGGATGATCACCAAACTTTGTCGGTAGCATTCTTAGGTAGTCTTTTATCAAGTTTGCTCATATTATTTTGATTGGCCCCTTTTAGGCGTCTCTAGGGTTAAAAATAGAAAAAACCATTAACAACTTCTCCTACAGAACTAATGGATGGATAATCACCAAACTTTGTCTGTAGCATTCTTGGGTAGTCTTTTATTGAATTTGCTTATATGAATTTTATTTGCCCTTTTTAGGGGCCGCTAAAGCTAAAAATAGAAAAATATTTAAACGTCTATTGCTACAGAACTAATGGATGGATGATCACAAAACTTTATCTGTAGCATTCTTAGGTAGTCTTTTGTCAAGTTTGCTAATAATATTCATTGGCCCCTTTCAGGGGTCTCTAGGGCTAAATATAGAAAAACCTTTAAACGTCTTCTCCTACAGAACTAATTGATGGATGATCACCAAACTTTGTCAGTATCATTCTCGGATAGTGTTTTATCAAGTTTGCACATATTAATTTGATTGGCCTCGTTGAGGGGCCGCTAAAGCTAAAAATAGAAATACAGTTAAATGTATATTTCTAGAGAACTCATTAACGGATAATCACCAAACTTTTTCTGTAGCGTTCTTGGGTAGTATGTTATCAAGTTTGTTAATATTATTTTGATTGGCCCATTTTAGGGGTCTCTAGGGCTAAAAACAGAAAGACATTTAAACAACTTCTCCTACTGAACTATGTGATGGATGATCACTAAACTTTGTCTGTAGCATTTTCAGTAAGTGTGTTATCAAGTTTGCTCATATTAATTTGATTGGCCCTTTTTTGGGGACGCCAAAGCTAAAAATTGAAATACAGTTGAATGTTTATTTCTAGAGAACTAATTGATGGATGATCACCAAACTTTGTCTGTAGAATCCTTTGGTAGCATCTTATCAAGTTTGCTAATATTATTTTGATTGGCCCCTTTTAGGGGTCTCTAGGGCTAAAAATACAAAAAAACTATAAATGTCTCCTCTACAGAACTAATTGATGGATGATCACCAAACTTTGTCTGTGGCATTTTCAGGTAGTGTTTTATCAAGTTTGCTCATATTAATTTGATTTGCCCCTTTTTGGGGCCGCACAAGCTAAAAATAGAAATACCCTTAAATGTCTCTTTCTAGAAAACTAATTGATGGATGATCACCAAACTTTGTATGAAGCATTCTTAGGTAATATTTCACCAATCTTTGTCTGAAGCATTATTGGGTAGTCTTTTATTAAGTTTGCTCATATTAATTAGATTAGCCCCTTTTAGGGGCCGCTTGAATTAAAAATAGACATCTTCTCCTATAGAACTAATTAATGGATGATCACCAAACTTTGTCTGTAGCATTTTTGGGTAAATTTTCATCAAGTTTGCACATATTATTATGATTGGCTCCTTTTAGGGGCCACTAAAGCTAAAAATAGAAAAACATTTAAACATCCTCTACTTCAGAACCAATTGATGGATGATCACCAAACTTTGTCTGTATAAGAATCCATTGATTTATCAATATTTGAAATATTTATGGTAGAACTCAGCAATGAATTATAGTTGACTTGATAAATAGAATCATTTCCTTTTCAACTGGAAAGGGTATGAGGAAATAATAAACAATGGACGGGATTATAAAGTACTCTATCCTAGCTTTAACACTAGATGTTTCATCATATAAAGAAAACCTTCCTATCTGCCCTATAGGAATTAAGTTTATAGTGAATGTAGTTTGTGATGTACTATGATCGGTGATGAGTTCTACCATACTCCAGGGAACAATTCAGTAAAGTGGGCCTCATTTGCTTCTATTGGAGTGATGAATAATGATTGTTACACATTTATTTCATGGCTTTATTGACTGCATTTATTGAAAGAGCTTCTGAACTAAAACTGCAAAGTTTGAAAGGAAGATGTTGTT